TGAACATCACAAACAGGATACCAATGGTTGCATCAAAAATTATTTTCAGAAATTCATCCGACTTTGAAATATTCATTGATTATGGTCAAAGAATTTATTTGTACATATAAGGCTCAGTTTGGAAGGAGTACAACTACATATACAAAACAATAGAAAATACAGTGTTTTGCATTTTTGAATTTGTATTTGTACTCCTTCCTCCCTAACTGGAGATGGTTATCTAATAAGAGAGAAATGAAAATTGGGCATGGAGATATACTTCTTGCTTTGGTGAACACAATAAGCTCCCAAGACAATGGGCACAGTAGGTTTCTGTGAACTAGTAGAGAGGAGATAGGGGAAAGGAACTAAGAGTAGATTTTGTGCACAAAAGAAATTTAGGCTCAGTTTGGAAGGAGTACAAATATAAATTTGTAGAGTGCAAAACATTGTGTTTTGTATGTATTTACACAGTATATATTTGTATTTGTACTCCTATGTAACTGAGCCATAACGTTTTCTAGAAAAAAGTGTCTAATGGAGGGGCTTAACACCTTCTGACTCTTAGGCCATGTCTCAGAGTGCTTAAAAATAAGTGCTTATTTGGGCCAGGACTACACCATTAAGCATTTATTGGTGTTTGGAAAATAAGCCCAAAATAAGTGCTTATTTTAAAAATAAGGACTTATTTTTAAGCCAAATTTCCAGCTATTTTTAAATGCTTATACAATAAGCACTTATTTAATTTTTTTTCTCTTTCAAAATTATCCCTAGTTGAATTTTATAAAAGTACTTTCATTTTCTTTCATAAAAGTACTTTTGTAAATGTTTTTATTAAAGTGTTTTCATAAAAGTACTTTTATAAAGTTGCGTTCATAAAAGTGCTTTTACAAAAGTGCTTTCGTAAAATTTGAAAGAAAATGAATGACAAAATAGTCACAAATGCTTAGTTAAATGTTTTTTAGAGAAAAAGACTACCAAATGCCCAATATGAAATAAGTGCTTATTTTTTAAAAGAAGCACTTGAAAAAATTGGGTGCCAAATGCAAATAAGTGCTTATCCGAATAAGCGCTTGTTTTTAAGCACTTATTTTTAACATAAACACTCCCAAACATGGCCTTAAACACAAGGCTGATGGTCTTATTCAATTGGGTTTGTAGAATGGACAGTACAAGCAAGTTGGTAGGAAATCCAAACCCGATATGGGTATGGACCCTGATCCCTTTAGAGCAAGCTTTGCTCTCTTTCTAGAAAAGAAAAAGAAAGTTTTAAAATGGGATCCCTTTAGAACTTCATATAATCAATAATCAATAATAGGAGAAGAATAAAATCGTTTAAACCCAAGAGAATGTATGAAATCTTAAATGTGTTTTCTTTATGCTTTTCTCAAATAAACATCGATTTTTAGTGATTATACCTGTTTATGGGTTGCCATGTTTGGGTTGGCAAACATGTCTGAGCTAGAGCCTAGCCTGACCATTGGCTCTAGATCTTAAGCCCAAGCTCGGCCCTTATGTAAAGCTCAAATTTCAGTCTAGATATAAAAACTCCTACCTATGGTGTAATTTAATAAACTAATATTATATTAATTTGATAATAATTTAATAAACCGATAAATTAATTTCTACTATCCAAATTGTAAATTGATATTGGTTATAATTTAATAAGCTAAATTATATTATATACTATTTATATATAATTTATTATATGTAATAATATTGGGTGGGCTTATTTGAGAATGTTTAAGCCCAAGCCCATGGGCCTAAAATTTTGTCCAAGCCCAACAAAGAATGGGTCAGGCTGAGCTAACACATCGGGGTACCGGGCCCATGAACAGGTCAAATAATGATGTCAATGGTTCAGGTTGGGACTGGACTGACAGCCATGCCCTTATCCTGTAATTTATACTTGAAAATAACTTTTATGATATAACTTTTAAGTCATTTTATTTATAATATAGAATATCAAATTTATTTTCAATGTATTTTTCTTAATAGCGGCACCTAAAATTCTGATAATTTTTTTGTTCACTTAATCAATCGTATTTGATATCGAAATACAATCCTAGTCCAATCAATAAGATTCGATGAATTTGGATCTAGGCATATCCTCTTCACTTTATCAATCATTGCAAGTCTTGATTATTCCTACACTTTGTTTCTAAATTCTAATTCCGTTCTTTTGTGAAAACCACTTTCTTCTAAGAAAGTAAGAATATCCAAATACTTTGTTGTTTATGTAAGAATATCCATTAATCAATCCTGCATAAAGTTGCCATGGAGACTGAAGCTCCTGTTCTCATGGAAGGTATTCCAAAGTAGAAAGAACCAACATCCCAAATTAAAAGGGGGTCACCATCCTTTGCCATAGGAATCGTGGAGGTGGTGAATGTGGCAAAACTATAGAGGCTTGGTTATTGTTAGCTAAGCTACCACTCCTAAAGTTTTCAAGATATTCGGTTATATGGTTCTCTTGCCATGGGTTGAACAATGCAGAAAGCAGTTTTGGTAATAAAGCTAACTGGGAGAGGGGAGAAAAGCAAAAAAGTGAAAAATGAGAATGGAATAGATTCTTCTTCAATGAAAAAAAAATTAAAAAAATAGATAGATTATAATTATGTAATGTAACCCTCATTGTGGTTCTTCTAAGTAATTAGATTTATCATTAATATCCAGTCGAGCTTATAATTCTTTTAGTGATATTTCCACTCTCTTCAGTTACTGGACATGGACATAAGCTGACAAATCTTCTCTTTTAGGTCCTGTTGGAAGTATCATAAATGATATGGGGTTAACCAAGATAATCCCTCTTTTTGTAATGCCAAACTAAAGGCTCTAAAGCATCTGGTTTTCCCCAAATAAAAGAATAACAAAGCACCTTAAATAAAGCAAAAGTTCAAAAGTTGGAATTTCCAAGTTGCAAATTGTAATGCTTTGTGAAGCAATCTCTTTTTTTTTTTCTTTTTCTCTTTTGTTTTTCATTGATTCAAACAGGTCGTTGGTAAGCTTGGATTGAACCTGTGACAAAGAATGTGTTACTTTGCCTTAAACTTTGTTGACTGATCCCACACATCATTGTTATTCCCCAATTGCATCTACCACTCATTTGGCTGAATCGGTTGATGAAATAAAATGCCCAACATGGACCCCTCCTGGAGTTAAAATCCGGGTTGAAAACTGAAAAGTACCCTACCTAGGTGGGGGAAAGAAAAACATCAAACAGATTAAGTGTGCCCTCAATATAAGCACTTAGGAGGCTAAGATGGGTTGATGGTTTGGAAACCTGGATTTAAGCTGCTTCTACACTAGCGAATGCAAACCCAGAGAAAGAGATCAGAGGGGCATATAGACTGGGCCACTTTGTCAAGACTTGTAGTGTCTGCAGAGTGCAAATCGACATTCTTCAATTCATTTCCTATTGTTGGTGGAACCTACTTGGCTGGCTTGCAGAGTTGCTGCAATATTTTAGTTGTCTAATGAAGGATTTTCTCTAAGCAAAACCAAGTTCCAGAGACTGACTGATCACGCCATGATATCTGGTCCACTTAGAGGGAGAGAGATTGAATACCTTGGGCCCATATTGTTTCATGTGGAGGTTACTAACAGCCCTCAAAAAGAAAAATAGTAGAGACACTTTAGAACTACTCTGCTCGAGTGGTTTCACAGTCAGCAGTCAGCACTTCACTTCACCAATTATATGGATGCATTGTTTATATGATTTGTAGTTTAAAGATTAAAAAGAAAAGAAAAAGAAGAATATTAAATATTGCATTATACAGGCCCCAGTAATTGACTGTTTGTCCCTTTCAATGAGGTTCACACTTCACATTTGGAATCAAATCTTGAAAGGAACACAGTATCACCATTAACGACATCAAAATCAACTCCGTTTATATATGATAGTACATGGTAATAATAATGATGTGTACTCTGTGTTTAGATTGATTAAAGGTTGGCCACTGCAATGCAATTCTGTTTCGAAAAACAGAAGAAACTGATTAACTTCATTGGCTAATTTGGTGAACCAACCAGTCTAAAACTACCATGTCGTCTAAGAGGAAAACATAGCTGGACCAGGTTTCGCAAAGCTTTTGTTAATTTCCTCTTCTGTGGAGACAAGATATAATCAAATCCACTTGGGAAAAAATGAAAAGGAATATTCTTCCCAATTGGGTCATCTAAATCTCTATCACAAAATCCCATCTTTTAAGCCACGTGGATGGGTGACGTGGCTAATCTGGGCTTTGCAATTGGTCAGGCAATATTCTAGATTCCAGCTTCCAAGTTCTTGGCATGGTTTTTTTCTCTTCAATTCGATGGAAGAACAACGGGTGAAAAGGCTTCTCTTTTTCACAAGGGAAGGGAGGGGACTAGTAGTCTAGTACTGATGAGCTAAAGCTTTCCTCCACAATCCACATGAGAATTTAGAATTTGGTGTGAAGAACAAATGAATCCTTTTGGGTCTCCACCTCTAGATTGTCTGGGATATACTTTCCACCTTGTCTTCCTTTATACTTGAGGAGTTCCCTTCTAGTTATTCTTACCCCTTTTCTCTTAAATTCTGGGCATAATCCTGTAGGGCCGCCCATAGAGTGAAATTTGCCACGTAAGGTGTAAGGAGTAGGGAACTTGTAGGGGCCCCACCACCAAAGTTAGCCATTGGATCCTCCATGCTGGAGCCTGGAGCCTTGATGATTGTCACAATGACAAAGAAAAAAAGCTGCTCTTTCCTATCATTCCTACTGAGACTCTTTGGCCCCTGTTTAGTGTATTCTACACTTGCCAGCTAGCAGAGGACGGAACAGATGGACGAGAATGGAAATAAATTGCCAATGCGAGTAGAAATTCGGAAAGCAAACGTGAAAAAGAGGGAAGGAGAGCCGTTAATATAACCGTACCACAAAAATTTGGCGCCAAAACTCAAGTCAATTGCGTCTGCTGCCCGCGGTCAGACAGCAAATTTCACGGGCAGCTTCGCCGCACCTCTCTTTCTTTTTTGGTTCTTTACTTCTTAACTCTCACAATCTTTACTTGTTCTTATTGTTTATTGGCTTCGGCTTCTTTGCTTAGGTCACGGGTTTCCTCGGGTTCTCCTCTCTGCCTCTTATTCTCTGCGTCCTCAGCCGATATATATATACCTCTCTCCCCTTCTCTGCGTCCTCTCTTACTCTTTCTCACAGAGTCCAGCTTCTTAAAAGAGTAAGTAACAGAGGGATAAAGGAAGGCCTTTTGTTTCTTCCCTTTCTTCTACTTCTCGGGCTAAGTTCCTGTTGCTGATTTCTCTGGTTTTTCTGATAAAACCCATATATTTCTTTTCACTTGGGATTGCTCTGTACCTCTTGTTTTATTTGGCTCAGTCGAATAGAAGAAGAGTACTTGCTCCGACTCTGAGGTTTCTTTCTTGTTTCTTGTTTTGTTTTTTCGGTCCAAGGCATCCGTCTTTCTCTAATCGAAGATGGGGTTTCCCGAGAAACCACAAGTAGATGGAGAATCAGAAGGAAAGAAATGGGTCATCGCTGGAATTTCGTTACGAAGTCCTTTGAGATCAATAAGTACGAACCCGAAGGAGGATGGCGATAACGACGATGAGGAATGTTCGACTACTCCCACGGCCTCAGAAGCGAGGATACCAGAGAGGTTGCCGTGCCCGCCGGCTCCAAGGAAGCGTAGGCCTTCTTCAAAGTGTCATATTAACGGCGTTAGGGAGTTCTTCACTCCTCCAGACCTAGAAACTGTATTTATACGCCTTGCCCAGAGAGCCAAGTGAGTCTCGTTGGATGGAGAAGAGAAGTTCGACCGACCTTATTGCTGTTCTTTTTTTCTTTTTGTTTTTCTTTCTCTCTATCTCCTCTCTGTTCTTTGTGATAGAGAGGAGAGCTGATGTACAAAAGCTATAACATATGAAATGGCTTTAGTTTTGGCTCATGAGTTTCTAAGGCAGACTGTATATCTGAGTTCCCTAGGACCAATAGGCCAAACATAGTGTAAAGCTGCAGACTCTATGGAGTAGCACCATTAGCAAAACTAAGTTTGATTGTGTATGATACAACGGAGTTTTGTAGCATACTAGCATTTGCTTGATGTCTTTGAAGATTAATTAGCATATTAGAATTTCCTTTAAGCCTCTCTCTCTCTCTCTCTCTCTCTCTCTCTCTCTGTATCAAATATCAATTGATACAGACTGCCCTACCCCAAGAAAAACCTCTCTAGAGAGAGACTAGCTAGAGAGGAAATAGGGAATGCATATGCAAGTCAATATTCATCTGAGATTCTAACCTAGATGGCCAAAAGTTTGCATAGATATGGAAAAGTAAATCTTTTTTCATGGCTGAGGTGCTCAACTGATGTTTCAAATCTAATTGACTATGACTGAGACAAATCCTATACCGTGTGAAGACCCAGTACCTTTTATGCTCTGGGCTACCCTCAGCCGTATGTCCCACACTCACATGTGTGGCCCACCCACATGATGACATACACTACACCCTCCGACTCCATTGCATGGGAAGGTTCTTTGTGCAATGCTTGTGCGATAATAAAAGACAAACGCATATGGAGTAATGGATTAGAATCCTATGCCAGTGATTGTATGGTACTCTTTCAAGCTTTTAGTTGTATTACACCGCTTGACCAAAATGATTTTGTTTTCCCCCTGCCCTTTTTCTAATGCTAAAATGGTTTAGTTCTGGTTAGATTAGATTGTGATGTATTCAGCGCCCATTTGTTTATAATGGAGTAGACAGGATAAATATTTTGCATGTTCATTGTTCAATCAAGGATTTTTCTTTCATTTTTTATATTAATTTGTTCTTAAAAAGTGACAAGGGGAAGTTCACCTAATCCAGGGCTTTCTCTCTATCTATAATAAAGAAATAAACAAAGATTTGTAGGGAAGAGCATGTTCAGAACAGTTTTGATAACCATAATTAACCAAGTAGTGATTAATTTAATAATGTTGTGATTTGCTCTTACGTGAAACTGAAACTCTTCTTTTTAAAAGGTGGAAGTATACAGGAGAGGAGAGCCAGGAGTCTATCAAAATTCAAAAACACAGGAAAGAAGAGGCAAGAGGCAAGGATACAATAATCCAGGGAGTCTGCATCTATCTAAAGCTTTGACATGCACTGGGTTTTCTCAAGAGAAAACCTTAACCTTCGGTCTATACTCTACACCATTAGCATTAGGGAATGAAGAAGGAAACTGTTGGGTGAAATTCCTGTACAATTAACGGTGTAGGCTGAAGGTTCTTTACTGTTTTGGTCCACTGGCAATTACAACACAAACTTGTGTTGGTTAACTGTCCTCACATTCAATGCTTGTCACCTATGTTTCAGCACCATCTTCAAGTACCAGTGGGGAAAGAAGGAAATCAGTATAAGGGCTCTCGTTTCTGATAAGGCGATTTCTCCTGATCTGAGGTGACAAGTTACGATATCATGTTCATTGAATTGATAATTGAACAGTCATCAGTTAAATAGATAGATAGATAGGGATGCACGGTTCTGTTATTTCCTTCCAATTTCTATGTGTATGGGAAATCTTTGTAGCTAACCCCACACACTGGGGGTGGTGGTGGTGGTTAGTTTTATTGTTCCTGGGACCAGAGCACTAAAATAAATGTGAAAGGAGAGTAGAGTATATCTGTACTAGTAACACTGGTCGTCTCTCAAGTACTTTATATTGGTCAAGACTCGAGAGATAATGTACAATGCCACATCATTGCGTTCGTCAGCTTCCACGACTTTCTCCTTGTAATCAAGCTCAGTTCGGGAAGAGTGCAAATACAAGATTTTGCACTGATCAACCAACTATATTTGTGTTTGCACTCTTCCCAAACTGAGCCCAGAAAGCAAGAAATAAAGCAAGAGATTGATGCATACACATATGTTTACCCTAATTTCGTATAACATTTGCAACGTTTTCATCAACGCCTTGTTGGAGGCTCAAAAAACGAATAGGAGAGGGGAGGAGTGTTTGTTGGGTTGGATGTATATATATAACTTTCAAGTATTTTAGCCTATGGTAGAGACTTGAGACAAGCAATATTCATCAGTAATAAATTAAGTAAGTCTCCTATGAGTATGAAAAGCATGACACATGGGTGTGTCCAGAGTCCAGAGAGGGGACATGACTTCCAAGTTAACTAACCAGGCACATGAAGAAGGGTGGGGGAACTGAGTCTGTGAACATACAAATACAATTAAGAAACACAGTTGCAGGATTTACATGAAACATATTGACATTACAAAGGGGCACAAATAAATGATTAATCTATTGAACTAGGATCCCAACTACCAAGTTAACTAACAGCAGGCACATTTATCATATCATACAATTATACAATACAATAACCCTTTGTATCTGCTAAAACAGCCCAACACTTATTTTCATCTTAGGCTCAGTTCGGAAAGAGTACAAATACAAATTTGTAGAGTGCAAAGCCTCGTATTTTGTATGTATTTGCACAGTACATATTTGTATTTGTACTCCTACCAAACTGAGCCTTAGATGCAATGAGATCGATTATCCATCATCTTAACTAACAGTAACAAGCAGCAACAATCGTTTAACTTTTCACAGGGCGGAAGCAAATTTCAAAGTATTTCTCCATAACCCTTGTGTGGAGGCCTCCATAACGCAAAGCAACTTAACTAACAGTAGGTATAGAAAATCCATACATATCAGTCAGTCCATACATACGGGTATTGGGGAAAAGGCTTTTAAGCTAAGAATGGATTAACCATATGGAGTGAGTAGGTATAGAAAGTTGAACAATAAAGCCTAAAAGAGATAAGATTAAGAAGAGAGAGTGGAGAGGGTACTTAAAAAGGGAAAGAAGATGGATAAAGATGAACCCAAATTTCATTGTCTAATGACATTAGCAAAAGGGAATCCCATGTATGTGCGTAGACAATCACACATGGGCCTGTAAAGGAATCCTAAGGGGAGGCCAAGATTCTCAACTCAAAAGGATTTGGATAATCTCACACACATCCCACCCAGTTTTGTAATGTTGAGTTACCCAAAAATGCATCAGAGAATCAGGATGATGGGATCACCCCAACCCCAAGTCCCTACCCTAAACGCGTTTGCCGTTTGCCCGGGACCTGCCCGTCCTACCCTCTCTCTCTCTCTCTGCCCCCCTTCTTATTTATGTAATAATATATATATATATATATATATATAAAACTTTTGGCGGGAGTGGGAAAAACGAATTTAAGAAAGACTGAACACGATTTCGCGCTAAAAAGAGAACTCCGGGAAAACCGGGGTTGCAACTTGCAACTTGCGACGGCGATCCGGAGGAACGGGTTCAGGCCCTTGAACTTTCGGTCGTATTTCCCTCCTTCCGCCTTGCGGCCTTTGTCTTAGGGCAACAATATGAAATGTCGAATATGCACATGCCCCCATCATCATTCTCTGATTTCTGAATCTGATTCTGACCATTCAACGAAGTGACCAAAATAACCTTGATATCTGTCTTCTTCTTCTTGTATGTCATTGCCAATGCCAATCAAGACTCACTAGTCAAAGTCTCCCCTCTCCCGTAAATAATTGGAGGCACTGAGAGTCTGAGTGTTACAGCTGCAGCTTACATTACACCAGTCCAATTTTGACCTCTTTCACACAAATTGACTCATCATGCAAATCCCTCCTGCATGATTGATGTGATTCTTCCAGTTTTTAACTCAGATCTCAAGCCACGTGGATCACAATTCAAGCATGATAAAAGATGGTGGTGGGGACCCAGACCCACTCCAGCGGAAGATCCAGATCATCGCCACATTTTGAGAAATTGAAAAGCCAGCAGCTCAAAAGTCCAAATCAAACTGATCATATGATTCGGACCATCCAACAGTCATCACTGTATGCCTATGGATATGATAGAATAGAATCAGAAAACAACTCATATGGGCATAATGGGCCAGGCCAAATTGTGAACTGGGTGGCCCATACATAATCCATATTCGGCCTCCCCTGCGTTTCCGGTAGAAATCAAATCACCCAATCAAGTTGCAGTTGGGCAAAAACCAAATAAAGGTCGTATTCAATTCAAGCCAACCAAAATTAGGAAGCCTTTTTAAATGTTCCAAAACACAACTTAATAGGCAGACCGTAGACACTCAACTTTAACTTTAATTCCAAATTGCGCAGAAGCCAGATTTCGTCAGTTGTTATTCCACCTTGCACGCACAAAACTATGGAGAGGAGAGAGAAGGGAAAACAGATTCTAGGTATCTTCTCTAGGTAAAAGTAACGCGTTTCATTTCCCTGTTTTCTTCACTGAATACATTCTATGGTTTTGGTTACTAACAACATGATCCATAATTTTTCAGTCCCAAAGAGACCAAGTGTCAAGGAGCATCAGGTGTATCAAGGTTGGAGGAGTGAGGTATAAGTGGCTTTGACACCCGGAAAAATGCCTACTACCTCCCATGCCCGTGAAAATAGCATCCGAGATTACAGTTATCAATAAGCTCGTTAAGAGAATTTCCAATTGATACTTTGTTGGTATATTCTACTGTTGTGGTATAACACCACCCCAATTTGGGCTGAACATAAAAATATTCCATTTAGAGGCCTGATGGAGCTTCATCCATTCAACTCAGGATCACTGTTCTTCCCCAGTTTTTCTTTCTTCAATAACTTCGTCTTTGACATCTCTGGATTGAAAATCAGAAACAAACTTTCAGGTGAATGAGAATAAAAGCTTGGGGGACTATGTCACTTTGCATCTTAAAATTGTAAAGCTATATCTACCCTCCTTCATGTGGTGAAAATGTAGTCAATGCTTTCAGCAGAACAGGATAACTTATTAAACCTCCACATTTCTAACACACATGCAAAGGTTCCACCAAAAATGCATTAGCACATGTATTCCAACAAAAATAAGCTAATGCCTAGACTAAAACAAATCAACCAGTACCTATGAAATAGTCTCAGTGAGACGTGCATTTTGCTGACAGTGCCAGTTATTTACTGGAGAATTTTATGGAACCTTTTACTTTTTCAATAGTGAAGACCATGGTGCTTGGCAATGGTCAATCTAGAAACCCCTTGCACATTTAAGACACATGGTCCATCAAATAAGCACGTTTCTCCAAAATGGTTTTTCTTTTTTATAAATAAAATAGTTTTTCCATTGTTTAATTGTTTTAATTGATGAAACTAATGAAGGATTAAATGTAAAATTAAGCTTAAGGATAAATGCCTTAGAAACAAGAGGTTTTAAATAAGGACTAAAACAGAGTATATGACATGTAAATTTAATAATACTAGGAGTGTAAATCAAGATACACTTAGGATTGGAGACCAAGAGAAAACTCAATGTGGCCATTTGTGGTACCTTAGTTCTACAATTCATAACAAGGGAGAGATTGAGGATGTCAACCAAAGAATTAGAGCAGGATGAGCAAAATGGAAGGGTGCATCTGTACTTTTATGTGAATGTGATAGGCAAATACCACTATGATTAAAAAGAAAATTCTATAAAACAGTTGTAAGGCCAGCTATGTTGTATGGAGCGAGTATTGGGCAGTTAAGAAACAACACGGGTAGAAGAAGTGATCTGTTACACATTGAAGGGGATAGAAGAGCTCGGGGTAGATCAAAAAGGACATGGATAGAAGTAGTAAAAAATGACTTAAGCACTTGTAATTTAACAGTGGATATGGCTTTAAATAGAAATGATTGGCGAAACAGGATTCATGTAGCCGACGCCATATAGTTAGGATAAAGCATGGATGAATCATCATCATCATTATTTTTTTTGGCAAGAGTTGTTACTACAATTATTTTGGCATCATATTGTTGTATGGTCAAAACACAGTAAATACCTCATGCCCTGATCAACAATGTTTAAGTTGTCATGTCGACGAGGCTTTTCATCCTCTTCAGATTCAGACCCATAATCTTCACCATTCCAAATGCGACATTTTGGCCTTTGATCCATACCCTCTTTTCCCTATTTCCAACCAAGATAAGCAAAGATCGGAACCAAGAAAAACAAAGGGAAAGGGGAAGAAATATATACCTTCCCTGAAAGCAATTCAATTTGGTAACAGGGTACACACCTCATCTGGAACTTGGGTACTGGGAGGCTGTGCCTGAAACTGTACACTGGGAGCATGTTGTATTCTTGAAAGGTGTTCCAACAGTATATTTCTGCAAAAATACATATCGGAAATATTTTAGAATAAATAAAGGTTATAGAAAAGCAGATTCATCTGCTTTCCCACCTCCCATTTGCACCACTCTGTTTGTAATGCAATTCTATTTGCACTAGTACAAATGCATGGGAATGCAAATCAGAAAATTATAAATTTCAATTCATTTTTGCTTCAGGATTTACTTAATTTTGCTTCAGGTTCTATTTTGATTCATGTGCACTGGGAATAAACAAAATAAAGTAAAATCCATATAAAAATCAAATCCAAAATTTGACTGATCAGAAAAAAACTTTGGAGTCAACTCATTCCATACTTTTGCACCAATGCAAATGAAATTGCATTGCAAACAAACAAGGCCAAAAGAGAAGAAACCATGCATTGAAATTTCCTACTTTCATGCACCTCCTGTGAGGACACAGAACCTATGGATGGGTCTGCAGCCCCACAATTTGCTGCTTGCCTTATGTTTTAAGATCCTGAATACACTGGTATCCCACCTAAATTAGTCATCTGACTTGAAATGGTTACAATCTCTGCTGCTTGCTAATTTTGTGCTAGCTGATCCAGTAATATGGCCCATCTGATGCTTGAAATATGGAACAGCTTAAAAGTTATGGTAGCCCCAGACACATCCACAGGCTCTACGTCCCTAAATCAGAGTTTTAGCCCAATGAAAATAGATGATCATAGGAACAAATCAGATCTGTATATCAACATCAGTAAAATGAATAAAATCCAAGACACATCTCGACAATAAGAAATCCTTCAATAATAACTTATGAGCTATAAAATGTATGGAGGTCAGGTAATAATTTTTTGATGCAGAACTAGTTTGGAAAGCTACATCAAGGGCATGGTGTATGTATAATTAGTACAAAATTAAACTATTTGTTTTTTGTATCTTCGAAGTATCAATTTTAGATGGCATAACATCAAGGGCATGGTGTATGCATGGTCTTGTCAGTTTGCCAACATAGCTCCATTTGCCCATCATAAAGCAGCATCAATAAATTAATTAACATCTGCAATTTTTTTGGAACAGTAAACAACTCCTACAATTTTAATAAATGATAAAAGTTCTAAATAATGCATTTTTCTTTGTTGAAAAAATATTCTTCCAGATAGGGGTGTAAACAGTATTCGACTATCTGATTCCGAATTCGATATCCGACGTAATTGAATCGAATTCGAATTCGTGTTGATTCGATTTGATTAAAATTCGAATTCAATTAATTATATACATTTAATATATATTAATAATAAATATAATAAAATATAAGAGTTATATCAATTTAAACTTAAAGTCTTAAGGAGGGGTCATGTCCATCATAAACAAGCTGACATCTTAGCTGCAATGATGTCACCTACACCTACTGACCTACTCGAGTGGTCATTCTCGATAACCCTTCCTCTCTCTCTCTCTCATCCTTTCCTCTCCCTCTTTTAAGTTTTAATTTCATTCTTCTTCCTCCTCTTCTCTTCCTCTCTCTCCCTCTGTCTCTTTTATTCCCAATCTTTGCAAGCTGTGAGCACCGATGGCAGCATCAGTGATAGCAGTCGAGCACCGGTCACCGGACACTACCATCTCCTTCGCCGCTGCTCAAGCTCAAGCTCAATGCCTCAAGGCCCTCAACTGTCCAGCATCACCGGTCATTGTGCTGCAACAGTCCAGCATCACTGGCCAACACTGCTCACTAGTCACTACCATCGCATTTGCACTGCCGGGAACCCACGACTGCCGTTGTCACACACTCACACTTGGCCCACCGCCAGGAACCCACGACTGCCGCCATCCATCCCCTGCCTCTTTTCTCAAGCTAATCACTTGCTTTTCTTTGCAAACTCAGTCATTTAAGATTCTAGGCCTCATACCGGTTGAATTCGAATCAATTTGAATATTCGATTTAATAATCGAATTCGAATTGAAACATTCGATATCCGTCAGATATCGAATCGAATTCGAATATTGTTTTTTATAATCGATTTCGAATTCGAATCTAGCCTGATTCGATTCGAATTCGATCCATTTACAGGCCTACTTCCAGACATGCATATGTATATAAAAAAAGTTCAAATACTAACTCTTTCATGGGAAAAAGTTGCATCTCTTAACATACCAACCATAAGAAGTAGAATATCCTTATATTCTGATTTTGTTGTCTTGATTACAGTCCAAGTGGCACACCGGATGAGAATAGAGGAGTTCAGGGAACTTATCGTTGGTGATATCATGAAGACATGGTATAACATGGCATCAATGTTAACAAAAGAGCAAAACCTTGCTTATCTTGGTCTTCTAAATGTTACCAAACTCAATTTCAATGGCTGCTGCATTGGGAACCCACGAAGCTAAGGAATAGATGGAGCATTTACAAATCAGAATTGAAAAGTTTTGACGGTCCACTCAGGCCCTATAGGGGAGAGAGACTCTAAGCAAGTTGATATCACTTATACAAGGGTTATGGTTCTTCAGCTTCTCATTTGGATAGACAATTTTGGAGGTAGAAGAAGATTCTCAGCTGGTAAGGATACATTCTCAACGCAAGGCGCCAACCAGTTGGTTGGTAAGATCTCCTGCTGGTCGTAGCGGAGACTTGGGATCGAATCCCGCCTGCACCTGGGTTGGGAGGGTTATGGTCGGGGGATAGGCTACCCCCCGTTGTGTAGCCCTTCAAAAAAATATTAAAAAAAAAAAAAAAGATGCATCCTCAGCATTTAATTAGACAAGCAAGATATACAGCCTATAGAATGAAAAAAGCCATTTGGATGTGTTAGGTGATTTGCTAATGTACATGCATATTCCTTGCCAAGAGAAGGGGTAAATCAAGCTGAATTGTGTTGAGGGGTCTGCCCTAGATACATATACTAACAGGAGGCATAGGTCATGGGCTTCTTTGCACAGTTATTCTCCCTTTATCAAGACCGTTCAAGCTGTTGTACCTTACTAAATGCTATCTATCTATTTTAGTAAAAGCATTTTGATCTTTAAACATGTTGTTCATATATTAAATGCCTCAAGATTTTAGTAAATAATGCTGAAGCACAAAAGCAACACAGCTAATAGCATGTTGCACAATGGTTGGGTTGCTCCATCGTGACCTGGGTGACTAGGATTCAAATCTTGGACACAGCCTTTCTATATGTGCAGGGGTAATGCTGCATACATCTGTCCCTCCCCAGACCCCACATTGGCGGGAGACTATTCCTTATCTATTTTCTGCACCTAGCTCCTAGCACTTGAGCAAATGGATGAGTCAACCCTAACAAAATAAATAAAACAACGAAAAGTAGAATAAGGAGAATTATTTTCTCATTTTACAAAAGCATCAAAGAAGGCACCACATACAATGGCTCTTTAACCTACATATGATAGAAAACAAACTAAATATAGTTTCTAAAAAGGTTTTAAGTAGACTAAATAAATCATTTTCTAGTAAGGGCTTTAAAACAAGTGTTCCATGAACCAAAAAGAGATTGTATAAAGTCTAATTTTCCTTTAAAAAAMAAAAAAAAAAAAAGAAAGTAGCCATAAATGTACAAAGATCCTGGAATGAATTGGACTAGCATATTAAATAAGCCAAAATTCCTGAACCCAGATCTCCTGCAAGCAAAACTTCTGTGCACATTGCATGCAGTCACACATTGGGAATATCTCCGAACATGTATGTTAAACTCACGGGGAGATGTTCCCAATGTGTGGTTGGATTCCCATGCTTTCAGAGTGTGTACAGAGTTTTTGCTTGAAGGGAATCTCGTCTCAAAACTCCTAGACTCAAAGTTGAAACTCTGGCATAATATTTTTTCAGCATTCAAACTTCAAAACTGCTCTAATATATTATATCAGCTCATCCACATAACAAGAAATTTTGAGCTATAACTGCAGGGCCACAAGTTGCTGTTTTAGCAACAGCATTCTCATCATCCAATACCAGAATGACATAACATGTGGATATGCATCTCAATCATTTGATGGAAACTAACATGCATGAATAGATGTTGAAAACATGAAGACATTATAAACTTCTCTAGTGAGTCATGAAAATTTTGAATGGGCCAAGCCCAAAGCCCAAGTGCAAAGCAGTGTAAAATCTTCATGGCCGAGCCTGAAGCCCTGCCCGTGAACAGGTCTATGTAGAATCGATGGTTTGATTTGACTACAGGCTATTACAACATCATTCAATTTTTGTAGTGCAAACTCCAGGGACCAGTATAGTGAACTATAACATGGCCAAAAACAACAGTAAAATATTACTTGAAGCTTACCTCATTTTTTCCAAATCTTTTGATGAGTTTTGATTCTCCATGTTGCTCGGTTCAACATGAAGAGTATAGTCAGGACCAAAGTACTCGTAATATTCATTGTATGGCAGTTTGTTTTCAGGTTCCACCCCAACTGCAACTGCAGTCTGAGCAAGATAACAGATAAAAACCCAGAAAGTTTAGATTTCAAGACCAGCCAGATCATAAACAAACGCTAGAGAAGCTGAAGAGCAGCGACGGGCAGAAAATACCTCATAACACCAGCAGCGAGCAACATTACGGATTGTATATCCTCCTCCACCCAAGACCATCAGAGGAACATTGAATGATCTGAGAAAGCGAAGACAGTCTGCATGACCCTTCACAGACAAGTTGAAGCAACCCAACCTGTCACCTGACAATGAATCGGCACCACATTGGAGAACAACCACATCTGGCTGATAAACCTCCATGACTTTATGAATGATTGGCCGAAATAGACCACGAAAGCTCTCATCATCCATTCCATCATTTAGTGGGACATTCATGGCATAGTATTTTCCAGGGCCTGCTCCGATATCCTTAAGATGCCCAGTCCCGGGAAAGTAGTCCCCAAATTTATGGAAAGACACAGTCATGACTCTATCAGTGGTGAAAAATGCTTCCTCAACACCATCTCCATGGTGAATGTCAATGTCTACATACAGTACACGCTGCTCAATAGAATGGAATGGATCAAATAAATAATTGCCATCCACATGTACAAAGTTGATATCTAAAAAGCAGATAAGTATCAAATTCGTTGTTTATAAGCTGATATTAGAGAATAAAATATCAGGAAGAAAAAGTGAGGATTTCACAATTGATATCCTATCCATATACACTACATATAACGCGCTAGACCATCACTCCACATTTAAAACAAGCAACACCCAAACAGCTACAGGTTCATTCTACTGACCTAATTATGAACCTAAAGTTACTGTACTCTTGAATTCAGTGAACCCCAAATTATGTAGATTGAACAGAAATCATTTCCAAAAGGATGCATTTGCTTCATGCCCCAGAAAATTATATTTGTAGTTTATATAAAACTAAATTTAGAGATGATATGGGCATCTATGATGTTTCCCAACATGGATCTCACCATTCAAACTCAGATGTACTGAGAGTTCCAGGTAAAATAAGGGGGGAAAGGCAGCCTTCAGCAAATCATATAAGAACAAAATTGTAAACAATCCCTTTGAGGAAAATATCAAAGAAAGGCACGGTAGACAAAGGAATACCCAGAAATATAACTAGTAAATATTTACCGAGAAATGACTCACCAAACAAATGGTTGCCAAATAAAGAAAAAGGTATAGATAAAAATACAGAGAAATCAAAAACACGAAAAAGCAACCCAAAAAAGAAAATAGAAAACGTACATATGTATAACAAATCATCCCAATAAAAAAATTAAAAAAAAAAGATTAATAACACAAATGGTACAAATAACCAAATACGGAAGCATGAAGCCATGAACTACAGAGCTAAAAAATAAATAAATAAATAAGGATCAAAACAAACAGAGAGGAGAAAACCCAAAAATAACAAAAAAAAAAGAAAATGGAAAATAAAAAGAGAAAAATGCAATAATTTCAGCTACGCAAACTTAGGACGGGAGAGAAAAAGGAAAAAAAAAACAATAAATGACTTTCTTACCCTGTGCACCTTGAGAAGCTCAAGAATCCCCAGCACTATATCGTTGACATAACAGAAACCAGAAGCCTCACTCTTCTTTGCGTGATGCAGCCCACCCGCCCAATTCAAAGCAATATCTGCATCCCCGCGGTTTAACTTAACGGCGGCACCGATGGATCCCCCGGCCGAGGCCTGGCAGAATGGGAATAAGCCATCGAACACGGGACAGTCTTCACCCACGTTGAAGCGCTTGAGGTGGCGGGAGTGTGTGTGATCGTGAAGAGTTTCGGGTGTTACGGATGCGAGGAATTCGACGTAGTCATCGGAGTGGAACCGCCGGATGTCGTCGGGGCCGGCGGGGTAAGGCCGGTTGACCTCCATCCGGCGATGCAGAGAGTAGTGTACTATGAGGTTGTGGGCCATACGAATGCGGTGGGGCTTCATTGGGTGGCCCTGTCCGTAGTAGTAATCTCCGATTGAAGGCTCGTAGAAGTAGCACACCCTTCGCTTCTTGGCGTCTGGTCCTCCTGGGAGAGACGCGCTCCCAGAGGCATCCTCCATCGTCTTCTCTCTCTTCTCTCTCTCTCTCTCGCGCGCGCGCGAGCTTAGATTCAGAGACTCAGTGAGAGAGACACTAGAGTAGAGAAGAAAGAACCGAATAAATGCGGGAGCAAGAGGGCTTCTGTAGCGGAGTGCACGTTAAGATCGTGTCAACCGTTGCTAAAATGCGCCTTAGTTGCTAAGGAGGGCCTCTTTCCTACGGGTGCATTGGAGGGAAAGAATACAAGAGAAGCAGCACTTGAGTAGGATCAGTAGTAAACTAAACCAGTCTCCTTCGTCATTTCATTACCATTTACCACGGAGAGAAGAGATGAAGAATCAATCGATCAAGTACAAGTGTAGAAGCGAGCAAATCGGGTCTTCGAGATTCGAGTCGGATTATTTTATTGGGAAATTACAAAGACCCCGCTTGTACACAAATACCGTGCACAATTTTTTGCAACAAACACCCTCTAAACTTTTACGTATGTAACGAAAGACGTTAAATCATCAAAGTACCCCATTAATCTTTCTCTATTTTCTTTTCATTGTCATTCTCTCTTAAAAACATCACTGACCAAAAAACCTTTAAACGTAATTGTTCATTCACCGCATCAAAGTAACAGAAACACCGCCACTGCCACCTCCTCCTCCACTCCCACCGTGACGGGAATAATAACAATCGGAACAAACATCCCCACGGCCACCTCCGGCTGACCTACATTACCAACAAATAGGGGTGTCTGTTCGTTCACTCCCTTCTCGGCATCATACAAGAAACCAGCGAATAGGGCAGAGAAGATTGCCCAACTCCGACTTCTACCATTAACAATGCTGGTAGTAGGCCCCAGAATCTGCAATTACACCGGCTTCTACTGTGATCACCCACTGGACGACAAAAACGCAAGGAAGTTCTTGGTGTTGATTTCAATGGTTACCACTACAAAAACAACAATGTCTCCACAAACACCATCCAACAACACACATAAAGAATCAGACCCTTCTAAGCTCCATCCTTCGCTGGTTACAAAATATGAGGAAGTTGTTCAAAATGCAGAGATGTTCACTGAAACACTGAAGGATCTTCACAGGTCTTTGGGAACTAAGTTTATGGTACCTACCATGTGTGGGAAGTCTCTAGATTTACATCGACTTTTTGTGGAGGTTACATCACAGATTCACAGGGTGGTCTTGAGGAGGTTATAAGAGATCGCAAATGGAGAAATGTCATTACCGTTTTCAATTTCCTAAGCACCCTTACCCTTACCAACGCATCCTTTGTATTGTACAAGTACTACATTACATATTCATTGCTTCACCATTATGAACAGCTGTATTTCTTTCGTAAAAACAACCCTTCAATCCAGGCATATGATTTATTGGTAGCCAAAAGCCCTGTCGATTGCAGAGGGGCCACACCATCTACTTGTGAGAAACAAACCACCACAAAATTGGTTAGCAAAAACTTCAAAATTGAGTGCTGGTTGTCGGGTTACACGGATAATCTATGGAAATTTGACAATGGATATTTAGGCTATGTTTGGTTCAATTTTCATTCATTTTTATTTTTACCTGTGATGAAATTTTAAAATTGATAAGAATGGGTAAAAATCAGTAGAATGGGAAAATACTGTTATGAACCAAACACTTTTTTCCTAAAAATGAATTGCTTTCAGACTAACAAGTGTCTTATATTGCTTGTTTTCATTCTTCAAAAAAAAAAAAAAAATGAAAAACTGTGCCAGTATTCATAAACCGCCAGCCTAGGTCCCCAAAACTGTTGGCATAGATGTTTTATAAAAGTGCTTTCATAAAAAAGTACTTCCACAAAAGTGCTTTTATAAAAGTATTTTCGTAAAAGTGCTTTTCATAGAAGTGTTGTTGTAAAAAGTGCTTTCGTAAAAGTGTTGTTGTAAAAAGTGATTTCATGAAAGTGTTTTTTATAAGTACTTTTATAAAAGTGCTTTCATAAAAGTGATTTCGTAAAAGTGCTTTTGTAAAAGTACTTTTCATAAATTTATTTTTATAAAAGTGATTTCGTAAAAGTGCTTTCACAAAAGTACTTTTATAAAAATACTTTCGTAAAAGTACTTTTATAAAAGTGTTTTTGTAAAAGTACTTTTATAAAAGTGTTTTTGTAAAAGTGCTTTCACGAAAGTAAATATCTATGGTAGTAGTTTTGTAGGCAAAATTTCCTCAAAGAATGAAAATGAACAAGATGGGGCATGATTATTTTTCATTCTACAAGATACTCAATTTTTGTTCTATGGGGCTGATTTTTCATTCTAAAAAGAATATAACCCATGGCAAGAATTCTGTAACCAAGCACTGTAATGTTATTCATTATTGCCTACAATAAGCAAGAATTAAAAAAAGAAATGAGGCCCAGAACAGTAAACCAAACATGGCCTTAGTGATTGTGAGTTTAGGTCCTATTAAGCTTAAAGTGTCATGTATGATGTTCCTCCTGAGTTACAGATGTCTCTAATTTCTAGTACTTCAATTGTGATGTCCTGGGGCACTAATACTTCAACTGTACCTCCTCGTCGGCAATAGAAAAGATCCAGGCTGGCATTGAAGGATCCCTCTCATCCTAAACCAAACAGGAGTGGTTATAATTTTTTTTTACTGAACATTATTCTCGACTAAAGCCTCTACACCATGGGCAAGAAAAAGCCATCAGCAAGAAGATTGGACACCTATGAAGGAAACTGACTGAGACTGAAAAACGGGGTTTATCAGGAGAAAGGAGTGTAGCATAAAGAGAGATATTATAGCAAAATTTTGGAGTGCAGAAAATTATCAAATGCTTGAAAACCTCAATATATCTGAGATCCTTTTCCTAAGGTTATTGATTTTTCTTCATATCTATGTTTTCTGGCATCACCCCGTGCAGATTGTGCCAATGGCATGTACCCATTCATCAAGGTGTTGGAATGAGAGGGAATTAGGAGGCAACCTCCTGCAATTTATTTATAGAAATGATTACACCATTGTCACACATTTAGGGAATAATATTTGTAGGTCTCTCTCTAAGTGCATATACACAAACACTAAATTTGCTGATCTGCAACTATAAGGGATTTTCTATTTAGGCTCCTGAATAAGGGAATGTTTGGAATCGTAGTTGTTTTTTGAAAAAACGGTATTACGTCGGATCCATATAGGCATTTCAACAAATGCACATGTATCTTATTGTTTGATTCAGCCAATTATTAAAAAATCGGGCATGCCTCAAAAATTGGGATTCCGCCGATGTATGAAATGTCAAATCAGTGAATCGTTTCCTTCAACAGTTGACTGATGTATCCTATTATGGTTGCTTACCTGTCAGCACATACATGAAAAACAGTGATGAAAATCTCCTATCCAAATAGTATAGTATTGCTCACTGTCTACATGGTAGAAGCGTTTTTTTGTGAAAAACGAGTCTTGAAAGCATAAACGTTTTTCCTTGAAAATCTGTCTCAAAAAGCACCCACACTTCCAAACACCATGTAACTTGCCATCTGACTCACCTCCTCCAGCTAACTCAATTTTCATTTAATAACTTGGCCGATTCAGAAGGCACAGTTGGTGGAGGTGCTTTTTTTAAATAACCAGTTATCCAGTTGCCTCCCCTACGAGATTAGTTTGCTGAGATCAGCGATAGTGTCCAATGTAGGGAACAATCTTTCGACAGTACCCATTCCTTAACACCAGAATGTGCAGCTTCTCAACAGCAGATATTGATTGCAGAAACAAACATCTTGTAAAGACGTCATGGAGCAAAAGTAAATGGGATGAAGATCACAGTAGAAAAGGAGAAAAAAGGTAAATTAGAAAAGGATATTTTAGGTATTTAGAAAATTTTAAACAGTCAGGTGAGAATTTTTCTTGGAGAACTGACGGAAGGCAAATGAAGAGAGTCTTTTCTAACAGTCAAAGTTCAGGAAGATGTTTGTCCCAAAAAATAGTGTAGGGTCTTTGTCACTGACCTTATAATAAAGAGAGTCTTTCTAATTTACCCTATTTTATTTATAACTGATCAGGAATTTACATCTACGCCCAAAATACATCTCAACTTTATATTAAAAACATTTTCCAATGACAAGCACGAGATGCTCCCAATACACGCTCAAATGTGCATACGAGGCGCCTAATGGGCGGGCCCTGTGATCTCGAAAAGAAGCCCCACGGTAACAGATCAGAGCATTGGTGCGGCCGCGCGGGAATCTCCGTCTCCTGCTTGACTGACACGTATTCCCACCAGAGACATACATCCCACATCCACATGTCTATTGGATCCATATCCATTCTGTTTTGATTCATGGACCCCATCAAGGTGAACCCCATGGATATCCAAGATCCTGTAACGCGGTCGGAATCATTCAGAAAAATCCGAATCCGATCCTATTTATTAAATCTTGGCATCTTGCATCAAATTAGATCCGAAATTCGGAATTGAATCCCAAGGGATTTGGATTTAATTCAATTTTACTTTAATTTTTAAATACAAAAAAATAAAAAAGATAATTCCTTCTAAACTTTTATATATAATAAATTAATGTAAATTCATATTGAATTTTAGTATATATAAATTTATATATAACATAAATTATAAAAATATATTTTTTATAATTTTAAATATTATAATATATATTATATATATTTTTTAAAATTAATAAATATTTTAATATAATTAGATTGGATAGTCAAATCCAAATCCAATCCAATTGCATAAATACATCATTTGAATCTAATCGCATGTTAAATCAGACCTTGGATTTTAATGTATTTGACCCACTGAGGAGAAGTGTATATTTGATCCACTTAGAAATATATGGAACAATTCAAATGACTCAACCTGCTGATTGGTGAAATATTGTGGTTTAGGCTCAGTTTGGTAAGAGTACGAATATAAATATACAAAATAATACAAAATATAAGGTTTTGCATTCTACATTTTTGTATTTATACTCCTTCCAAACTGAGCCTATAAACAAAACCTTAAGGGAATAAAACATAAAACTGCTAGTGATTCTACTTGTATCACTAAGATTGTATTTGGTTTGAAAGAAAAGGTAGGGAAAGGAAGGGAAAGAGGTAGGGAAATCTATACAAACCTTGTATAATTATCCTATATTTTCCATCTTTTCCCTATTTTTTCTTTCAAACCAAACACAGCCTAAAAGATTTTCAGGACATGGAAATATTAGATATGCTTCGCCCTCCTATCACAATTCACGAGGAACTATAAATTTAGCATCTCAAATCTTGAATATGGGGCCGTTTGG